CAGCTAGGGGCTCTAGTTTCTAATTCACCAAGTAGACTCACCTGCCTTGGCCTGGGCTACTGGGTAGTGTTCTGCTCATGAGCAATTCATGGATGGATTACTTTGTTATAAGGGTTATTGTACCGTGATTTGCTTAGCCCACAGTTTGAACTTAGATGCATGTGAAGTATAGCATAACATATACTGTATTTATTTTCTTTTCTTCATTGAAGTTGATGCTCATCCTATTTTAATTAGATCAGCAATATAGGTAAATGTATCTAAAAGATTTTCTACATTCTATGCGAATTCACAGACACAGGGTTTTGGATTCATGTGTCTCACTCCTTTGGGAGTTCATTATTGTTCTCATTTGTGTTAGATCATCCCTACACTTCAAAGTTGAGGATTTCTGCTCCCAATCCTTGGGTTCGTGATTTGAGCCCCGGTAGGGACAAAAAATGCACTACGGACGAGTTTCAACACAGAAAACACGTCTGTCTAGTTCACTTTCTTAGTCGGAAACTAAAATTCTTTAAAAGCGTTTAAACCATCCAAAAGTGCTTGATTTTTTTTCCAGGTACCTTGTGAACGCGGGCTTAGGTGATGCTATGGAACAGTTGAAGCGATCGCGCATCCGGGATCTCTTGTCAGCAACCAATACAGGCCAGCTAAATGATGCTGACGATTCTGTGTCACCCAGCATCGAACAACAAAGTAGGTTTTTCTTATTCCCATTTCATGTAATTCAAAATTGCAGAATAACTAGGGGTAGAGGGAGGGCGGGATGACTGTTTTAAACAACCATGTTATTTCAGGATTTCAGAGGGCAATTAGGTGTTTTTCAGTTTTTCAGTGAAAAGAATAGCCTTCCTTTTATCTACGCGCACGTTAGTCCAATAAATGTCTTTTTAGTTGAAACCACTTCTGTTTAGGAATGGAGTACCAGAGAAGTATGTGTTGATCCTCGAACAGTTGTATCGTCATACCTCAGGTCGGATTAGGGCCTATGACCAGATTTCACCACCCTTCACCGTCTCTAGTGGAGTTCGACAAGACTGTCCTATATCCCCTTTCATTTTTAACTTCGCCATAGAGGATGTTCTGCGGGACGCTTTATCCGGTTTAGAAAACGGAGGAGTCGAACTCCTCCCAGGGAACAGAGTTCCTGACTTGGAATATGCGGATGACATCGCCTTGTTGGGTGACAATGCGTAGGCAGTCCAACGAGCTTTGCACCACTTAGCGATAAGGGTATATATATATATTTACATCCGGCTTGAAAACAAGCATGGTGCCAACGCGACAACAATGACAGTGAAGGGGATAGGTGG